AATTCTTGACTGTTAGAGTGGTGAGGCACTGACACAGGTTGCCCAGAGAGGTTGTGGATGCCCCCATCCCTAGAAGTGTTCAAGGCCAGGTTGGATGGGGCTTTGGGCAACGTGGTCTAGTGGAGGGTGTCCCTGCCCTTGGCAGGGGGGTTGGACCTAGATGATCTTTGAGGTCCCTTCCAACCCAAACCATTCTAATGATTCTATGATAAGCATGTTGATAGAAACTCATGGGAGCTTCCAAACAGTAAGCACTGAGATTTGCTTCTTGTTAGCTTATGATCAGTGACTTGCCCACCTGTGAGGTAGCACTGTGTGTTCCTGCTGGGTTCACAACGTTTGTTGGAGGGGAGCTGCTGCTGTGCACAGAAACTGTCCTTGTGCTGGCAGCCTCCTGGTCCTGCTGACTGCCAAGCAAAATTTCCTGCCTGCCCTCTTTGGTGCTTGCTGGTGAAGTTGCTGACCATGTTGCTGGGTCTTCTGAAGAGCTCAGCAGTAGAGTCAGACTGAAGATGAGACAAGTTTGCTTAACTTCAGGGAAATCAGGGAGTTGATTTGAGATGTGGACTCCAGTTTTGAGGATGGGATGGTTTGTGCAGGTTCTGCATGCTGGGAGATGTAGATTGTTTTTTTTCCTGTCCGGAATCTAATAATTCCTCAAACAAAATGGTGTTTGACCAAGATCAAACAATAACGTTTGATAGTAACTGATGTAGTTGCAGTTATTAGACTTCAGGCTTATGAAGAATATACAGACCTATACATGGCAACACATACATATTTTTAGAATCATGTCCTGGCAGTGCATCTGAAATGAGTATATTCTTGATCACGAGGAGATCAGGAGCAATTCAATATTCCTGACACAATAACCAAGAATCACAGTCTTCTCTGGGAAGCAGAATAAGTTAACAGTCATTGGATGTCCTGTGAACTTTTTTGATTCATAAAAAATTGTGATAAAATGTTTGGGTTTTGTTTTTTTTTCCCCTGTTTACAGCAATGCTGAGTGACAATAACTCTGGGAAGCTGAAAAGTGATTGTTCACCTCCTGTGCAATGGTGTAAGGTGGCTGCACATAAAGATGAGAAGACCAAGCAGGTTTTTAAAAGGTACTCGCAAGTAAGTGTCATTGTCATGCCAATATAGAGGTCAGTGTCTCTCCCTCTAGCTGGGCAGTTACTAAAAGGATGCAAAAATCAAGGGATGAGATTGCTGCAGGAACTGAATGGAGAATTAGGCACACAGCTTTCCCTGGGGCACCTAAAACACTTGGAGCCTAGGTTCACTCATAGTAGTACCTATTTTCCCAAGCCAACGTGAGATCCTAGTACTTTACTTGCAAGTATTTCCAATCTTTTTTTTGGTATCCAGACAAGTTACAATGTTGAGGCTTTTGTACAGTCTGGTAATTGAAGAAATTGAAGGGCAGTGGGTGCTTAGTGGGTATTTCGGGGAGGTGTCCCCTCATAGTTAAGTTTTTATGAAGAGTTCTGGAATGCTACATCACAAAAATCTTCATTACTTCATTGTTTGTACTCTTAACATCAAATTGGAATTAATGAATGTGTGCTAGTGTACATCCAGAACCATATTTTAAACCAAAAAAGCTCACTACTGTTATGCCTCTCTGCCATGTCAATTATTAGCTCTTAAAGCTTAAAAACCCCAAGGCCAAACTGTTATATCTGCTGGTGTTTTGAGCATCTGAATGGTGCAGCCCTATATGAATCTAGATATACTTGATAAACATCTGTGGAGGAAAACCAGCCTCATTCATCTCTCTGTGAATCCCGTGTTTCTGCCAGTCAGCTGATTTCCAGGGGTTGCAGCCTAACGTGCTAGTTAGGTTGGAGACCCCACATCAGTGCAAAATTTAATTTAGTTAAATCAGATGCAGGAATAGTGCTGCTTTTCCAGTGGCTGCCTTAACTTTCAGTATGTACTGCAAATAAGTGCCAGGATTGTGTCTGTTAGCCCGTATGTTAGAAGGCTTTTTAAAAAAAAAATAAATCTTGGAAGTCTGTATCAACTTCATCTGAAAGAGTTTCAAGAAGCACTGAACACTTAGTAGGTTGTATATTTTTTAAAGACATTTAAACAAACATCCAGTCCTTAGGAAACCATAGGAAAGGAAAATCAATAATAAAGCTCAGACTATGCACTTGAGCAACAACCACAGCTCTAACCAAATAATGATGTAGTTTTTGCAAACCGGTTTAGACATGAAATGAGCCGAGTGAATATTTGGAGATCAATAGTGAGATTCCTTAGGAATGAGAAATGAGTAGATAAAAATATGGATAGTCTATATTACTGAATTTTAGAGGGTGGGGGTTTTGTTTTGTTTTTCTTCTGTGTGTTTTTGGGGATGTACATAACTAAATTAGGCTTCTCAATATAAAACTCAACATCTAAATTCTACATTCTGGCCTGGTAGTGAGTTGAAAGTTTTGCTTGTGAGTGGTGGCCGTTGGCCCAAAATCTCGGAATTTGAACTTCCATCCTTTTTTTTTAACTTGCTTGAAAATACATATTTCAAAATAGAGTTGCCCTTTAAAGTAGGAAAACAAAAGTCACTTTTGGTTTCTGTTTGACCCATCAGAGATGCGTTTAAAATATGAGGCAGGCATAGAACTGCTTAAATCAGAGTGTCAATATGCAACATTTTCCTTATCAAAGCATCTATATATGTTCATACTTTCCTGCAGATAGCTCTGACGAGTTGTGAAAGACTTGCAGTGAACAAAGCAATAGCTTTTCTTTTCTTGCTTTTAATCAAATGCAAGTATTCACCTGAAATTCTTCAGCTGTCTTAAATTTGTTTAAAAATACTCATTTAACAGTTGATAGATTGCTGGAAAAAAGATGATTATTTTTTTTCCCTCTCTCATACCCCTATACCCTCCCGTTTGTTTTCAGACTTCTTGCACTGTTTGTGGTTGGAGGATGCTTCCTTTATATCCTCAAATTACATTTTGGCCCTGAAGAATGTGACAGAACAAAAATGCCATATGTGGACCTCAATCGTGTAAGGGTTGGTATTTTTAGGCATTTTCTTCACTTGGCTTAAAAAAATTATTGACAATATGAGAGTTATAAGGTTCTATAACAAAAAACTAGAATGTTGAAATTATCTTGTGAGGGGAAAATATATTTTGTTTCATTTCATGCGAACTTCTGGTTGTTGATCTTGAGGAGTGACAACAGAAGTGCATAGAGAAATTGGATTTTTAGTGGTAAAATGAGATAACTGTGACTTAAGAATAACATTTGAAACTGGTACAACATATCATCATACTATTGTGTCAGTGCAGATGACACTGGTGATTGATGCAAAACCATTTTTTTTAAAAAAAAAAAAGGCACTAAGCCCAACTCATTAAACCACAGGTTCATTTTTACCTAAGCCAGTTTCCTAGTCTGCTTTGCCTGGTAGCTGCTCAGATGTTTTTGGAATCACAGGGCAAATGTTCAGGAGGGTGCAGCTCTTGGTTCACTTCTTTAAGGCAGCAGCTACTTAGTTCAGCTACAGGTTTGCTTGTGGCTTTTAAGCTGATGTAGGAGACACCAATAAAGCATTCTTTTAATTCTTGCTGACATTTCTCTGCCTTTGCTACTTAACCTGTTTGCTCTTTATAACAGTACTTACCCTGGCTTAGAGTTGTTACGTTTCTGTCTTTGGATGTCTCAATGCTAAGACACAATTTATAGCAGAAGCCCTGATTTAAGGTGGTCTCATCTTGACATCGCTGCATACGCCTTCTCCCCCACCTCCCACCTTCTTCAGTGCACGTTTTTCCCCTTCTGAGCTTCTTTGCATCCCCTTTTCTTCTCATTTCACTTATTTCTTTTCTCAGTAACATATTCTTGCTGAGCTTCTTTGCATCCCCTTTTCATTTCACTTACTTTTCTCAGTAACATATTCTTGCTGAGCTTCTTTGCATCCCCTTTTCTTTTCATTTCACTTACTTCTTTTCTCAGTAACATATTCTTGCTTCCAAAACCCACCACCTTAACCCAAGCAAACCTAAGAACTGCATGGACTGTGTTTATTGCTGTCTCATGATTAATTTAGTTTATGTTCCATGAATGGTGAGGCAATAGCATTGCTCTTTGTCTAGTTAGGTAGTAGCCAATCGCAAACTGTTTGGGTCAGTTGTCCAGTGATTGGCATTAATTGTTACTGATAGGAGGCACAACTGTCGGCCTTAAAAACGAGCCTTTTCCAAAGATGCTCTGACTCTTGCTGGCAAAGTACAGCATGGAGTTGCTCAGTCGTGCTTTGCCCGGGAAGAAGTGTGATATTTATGCCTAGACTTGCAGACACCTTTGTAACGCTGGCAGAGGCAGTTCTATAGAACAATCCTGTTTAAAAATAAATAAATAAAAGCAGCACAACTTCCTTGTGTACCCGGATGGACACTTCCCTTTCCTTAACAGTACAGGAGGGGAACTGAGATAGCACTAGGTTTGAATCTTGACTCTGACCCTTGTGTTTGCTTGTGGGTTTTTTTATTACAGTGCAGGAAAGACCAGCAGAGATGTATCAGGAAAGAGAACATGCAAAAAGATTTTATCTTAACTGAGAAAAATAGTACCTTTGCTATTTTTTCTTCCATACATCAGATAGTGGCTTGCCACTACAGATTTCTAAAAAACATACATGAATAGTTTTTTGGTTTGGTTTTTTTAACGAGACAAATCAATGTGTAGTTTTATCTGACAGCTTAATCTTTTTATGCAATACAGAACTGTAGTCTTTTATTTTGGTGACTAGTCTTTGAAAGAAGACTTGAAACACTTCTATCTTGCATTCTTTTTAAAGTTGTGTTTTAGTCATTAGCAATACCACTTCTTCCAGAAGTACTGCTTCATTTCGATTAGTAAGCAAGTTCAGGCTGCCATTTCACACAACTTTTAGCCAGTGGATGTGTGTCTGGTAAAATCCTACCACAGGCAGAACTCGGGTCACGCATTTGAGCAGTGGAGTAGAACTCCACTTGCTGGCTTGCTGCTGAATTAGGTGGGTAGAAGTACATCTAGATTTTTTAATCTATGTTTGTAAGTAACAGTACAAATGTTCCCAAACAGCTCACCTCTTCTAGTAACCTAATTTATTCTAGAAAAGCTACTATCCAGATTTAACTGATTGGATGGAGAGACATTCCTTTGTAGATTTTCACCCTGCACTGGTTAGTATCTGCATTTGAGTGAATGCTTTAAAATGTGTTGTGTTTCCCCGTTTGTGCTTTCTTTATAAACCCCTGTGCTTGCTAAACTGCCAGTGGTCAGTTGGTGGGTTGCATTAAGAGGGCTTTGTATGTTCCCAAAGCTGGCTTTCCTGACTGAAATCATGTATGTTTTGTTCTAGAGAGCACAACAGTATGCCAGCGCCGCATTGCAGGAACAGTGCCGGCCTTCTTATGTGAAGAAAGAAATGGGGAAGTTATTTGCAGAGAAATATAGCATGGACCTATCTCCCTTTGTAAGAAAAAATATAAATGAAGATGAAGGCTTATTTAAGTATGAACCTCCTTTTGGATTTCACAAGTTTGTTGATAAGCTTAAAAATCTCCTTGAACTCTTACCTGAGCATGATTTACCAGAAGATTTAAAGTTGAAACACTGTAAGCGTTGTGTTGTTGTTGGCAGTGGTGGAATTCTTCATGGATCAGAGCTGGGTCACTTATTGAATCAGTTTGATATTGTTATAAGGTATGTATTTTCCATTTAAGGATTCCAACTACTTCAACTTTAGCTCATGAGCTGACTTTGTTTTTTTAAGGGGAAAGTATCTCCAACATTTATGTAACTCTCAAACTATTTCTGAAAATGCTTTTGAGAAATTTACCTGTGACTTGATGGAATTTGAAGTCTTAGGAGCAAAATAAATTCTTGTGTTCACAAGACAGGAATTCAGCGTAATTATTTTTGGACTTCAGATAGGAAAAAAACCATGGGCAGAAATGAGATAGAAACAAGTGAAATCATAGACAAGTAGACAATCCTGGTTTTATCCATTCATATGTTTAAGCTTTTAGAGGTAGGCTTTAAGACTCACCTCTGCCTTTTCCCCCATGGTTAGCTGGGATGCTTATTTGAAGGATTTTTTTAACAGCTATTTTGAACACAATAAAAGTTAGTTGGTGTTTCAGTATAGGGTTTGCTTACACACTGTATAGCACGCTTATCTTTCCTTATCTTTACAAGATCAGTACATGCTTTCTGTGATTACCCATGTTTTCTTATGTCTGAATTAAATGAATACATGCTCTGTATTTGTATTTGTGCCTTCTGAACATTACTGTTTGAACTCTCCTTTGTATTTTGAATCATGTAAAGTCACACATAAATTTAATAGAGGCATTTTCCCAAATTGCTTTGTAAACTAAGACTTGATCTGTTAAAAAGGGAAGACTTGATACAGTGAGTTGATATCTCTTATACCAAGGTAAACAAACCTGTTAGCATGTGGAGCGGCAAAGAATTTGCGTTCACTGTTCTCTGAAATTGGGGCTGGCAGTGCAAAGGTGACTTTTCTGTTGATATAGCAAAGTTTGTGGGACTTACACTGTTCTGCAGAACTGATGGAGCTGCATGATGCTGTTCTTGTCAGCAGTGTGCTAGCATCTGAAATTTTCGGTGAGTTGAAGTGATGTAAACCAACAGGATGCATCACGTTGTATTGAAGGGATAATTTGAATGCCTTTCTATATGTAATACCCTTGTGTGTATGTGCATGTGTGTATATATAGATATAAAAAAAAAAATATGCAGGCAACTTCCTGTGTCTTGTCTTTTCCCTTCTGCTTTTAAGCCTCTCTGAGTTGGCACAAGGCAATCAATATGAAATTCTGCAGTGCTGTTTTAAGTTACTTTTCTATTCAGGCTTCTCTTTGAAGTTTTGCACTTGTGCCAGTTAATCCAGAAATAGAATTGGCTTCCTCTCAAAAATAAGGGATGGATGAGTGTGAGGTGAGGAACATGGAGGTACTGAGCAAATGCTGTACTCTGCTGTGTTAAAAATCTGTGGGCCAAATACAAGTTCTTTGCTTAGTGTCTGATGCTTTGAGATTGTAACCTGTGTTTATTAAATGCAGTTTCTCTCTGTTGTGGTTTTTTTTTTTTTTGTTAGGTTAAATGATGCACCAGTGCAAGGATACACAGATCATGTTGGTAACAAAACTACTATACGGATGACTTACCCGGAAGGAGCCCCTCTTTCTGAACACGAGTATCCTCCTGCTAGCTTGTTTGTGGCTGTTTTGTTTAAAAGTGTTGATTTCAATTGGCTTGAAGCAATAGTAAAAAATGAAACCTTGGTATGTAATGTGACAGTGTTATGTACCTGTAACTTTTGTGTTTTCTAATGCTTAAGAAGCTGCTGATATGTTACTTTCTGTTTTATTAGACTGAGGATCTTTTGTTTAACTTTGTGGGGTTTTAGCTATGTCTCCCTAGTGACAGTAGGTACCAGCATTCATGTTGAAGCCCCATGCTGACAGTAACACTTTTTTTTCCTGCAAATATTGGTGGTTTGTACCAAGCTACAGTGGAATTCATTTCACGTTAGGTTTAAGTGGTTTGTTCAAATCTGCAGAGTCTGAAACAGAAATGAGATTTCTGGATGCCAGTCCATTTGGTTTTTTTAACAGCTGCTACAGTAGGCATACCTGCGGTTAATGTGTAACTGAAGCATTGCAGTTGTTAGGTCATATTTGTCTGTGGTTCCAAAATTAAGAGGTCATTTATTTCTTACTGAATATTTAAAGAAGTGCGGAGATTCCTAAGGAACTGATAGCAGGGTTCCATGTTTCCAAACTCTCTTTAAATTGGTAGTTTTCACCTCTTTCAGTTTGCAGGCAGATAGTTTCTGCAGGCAGATAATTTCTTCCTTGCTCTGGTGTTTTTGGTGGTGCAGAGAGCCAGTTTGGGGAACTGATCTGGGAATGGGCATACTGCACAGACTCCGCTGAAGGGCCACGAAGATGCTTAAGGGACTGGAGCATCTCTCCTGCAAGGAAAGGCCGAGGGAGATGGGACTGTTTAGCCTGGAAAAGAGAAGGCTCAGCAGAAGGCTCAGGGGGATCTTACCAATGTACATAAATACCTGAGAGGAGGGTGCAAAGAGGAAGGAGCCAGGCTCTTTTCAGTGGTGCACAGCGACAGGACCAGAGGCAATGGGCACAAACTGAAACACAGGAGGGTCCCTCTGAACATCAGGAAACATTTTTAGTCTGTGAGGGTGACAGAGACTGGCACAGGTTGCCCAGGGAGGTTGTGGAGTCTCCATCCTTGGCGATACTCAAAAGTCATCTGGACATGGTCCTAGGCAACCAGCTCAGGTGTCCCCGCTTGAGCAGGGTTGTGGACCACTTGGCCTCCAGACGTCCCCTCCAACCTCAACTACCTAGTGATTCTGTGAACTGAAAACATCTCCTTTCAAACACTAGGCTTCTGGTTGGATCAGCTCTATGCAGGCATTGGTACTTACTAAACTTGTTCAGAGCCCATGACCATGGCAACCTAGATTTGATCAGTTTAAGCTGCTGTAGAGTTGTAGGTTAGGGTAGCAATAAGCCTGTTTAAAAAAATATAGGTCTATGTTGCAGCTATGTAAGTTTTATCATTTCCTTAGTGTTATGCATTATATGGAAAGATTTGTAAAATGAGCCTGATTTAGTGTTGTGTTTTCCATTAGCATGCTAATGGACTGCAAGTGGCATGAGATCAGAATCTAGCTTGCTGAATCTTGTGTAAATCCTCTTTTGAAGTGTTACATTTATCACTAGGTGGATGCTGTCAGACAACAGCTGTTCACTTCAAAGCCTGAGTAAAATTGTTTTAAGTCCAGTGCTTGCTTCAGAATGCCTGGATAATGTTTGTGGAAAACTGTGGTTCCCTTTCCCATTTCTTTAAATAGTGCTGCCTGCTCAGTTGTGCTGGGGAAGGTCCAAAGAACCTTGTGGATTCTGGTGGATATGTTGACTGATTAAACACAAAGTGCAGTCACGTATTCAGAATAAACAACTTCCCTCTGCTATCCTCTCTGGAATTCTAAATACTTAGAAGGTTTTTCCTGTTTTGGATCAGTCACTTGAGGTGTACACTGGTATTTCTGAATCCACGTTAGCTATAAACTGTTTCCTGAATTTCTCAGCATCACTGATGAATTCTACAACTTGTGTACTGTCTGCCATATACTTTGCAGTCTCAGAGTTTGCCTTTGCTGAACTATTTTTTTTCTTTCTCTTAGCCTCTGTGGGTGCGACTCTTCTTTTGGAAGGAGGTTGCTGAGAAAATTCCTCTTACATCAAAGCAGTTTCGGATTCTGAATCCAGTCATCATCAAAGAGACAGCTTTGGACATTCTGCAGTTCCCTGAACCTCGATCAAAATTCTGGGGCTGGGATAAGGTAAGAAGCTTCCTTTTAGGAGGAGGATAAAATACAAAGTAAAACAAGAAACTGAAAAAAGTTTTGGGCTTTTCCTTCAATATAGTTTCTCTGTGCAATTTCAGAGCTGGTCTCAAGTAATGGGGAAATTAATGTGCTCTCGAAGGACTCTTGTATTTTCTTGTGTAAAATCAAAGTAGGATTCAGCTCGCCTTTTTAGATGAGATATTATGCTGGTGTAGGCTGACAGGAAATGGCCTGTTTTACAAAGACTTCAGATGCAGAGAGACACAAATCCATTCCAGAAAGTGTGTTCACTCGCACGTCACTGTGGCTGGTGTTAAATATTCAAAACACACATTTGATGTACGTTAAGTGTGTTAAGAGCAGCCCTGTTAAGTCAAACCAGCAATCGCCTACAGACAGATGTGTCTCTAGTTGCAGGGAAAGCACAGAGTATGGAAACCAGGCCAGTGTAAAACAACCTTCCACCTGTTGGAACTGCTGTGTATGCTGATGTGCTCATAGCAACTGATGGGTATATCCTCCCTCTGTCCTTAGCTCCGGCAATAGTATGGAGTGATGAATTGCTCAGTTTAATTAGACACTGCATTTTTTGTTATTGTAATTATTTGTTCCAGAAATTGGATGTCACTTGTTCTCTTAAACTATGAAAAAATACTGAATAACCATCATCTTTTTATGTTTTGTGTGGAAAAAATGTAATGGTAGTGTTATTGCACAAATGTTTGAAGGATCTTTTCACATTTATTTATGAAAATAACATAACATACCAAGCTACCTATCTTCTAGTTGTATTGTAGTATGCTTGTCTTGTTCATGGGTTATTCAGTGAAGAAAAGTTATATTATGAAGAACAGTGTTAGAGCCTGTTGCTCAAGACTGAAGTAAGCATACATCACAAAATGTCCAGTTTAACTGCGTGTCAGGAGTTTTTTGAGTGTTTGGAGCAAGGGTTTGCTTGTAGTTTAACTACATAGTAATAGGGCATCTTGCCTTCACAGAAAGAAATTTAGAGTTGACAACCAACAACTCAAGTTGTATTAGTATTTGGCCCTGAAGGTTTTATTTTTACTTGATCATTTAATTTATTTTTAGTTTTAGTTGTAGTTGATTTTAGTTTTAATTGATTAATTGATAAAAGTTTTAAATGAGGAGAGGAAATAGACAAAGCCATTGAATTTTGTAAAGTGTTTATAAAACCGGCAAAGGAGAATATACTTGAATTCAGCAGGCTTCTTTTTCCTCCCTCTTCAGAATGTACCTACAATTGGGGTCACAGCAGTTGTTCTGGCCACGCATTTATGTGATGAAGTGAGCTTAGCAGGATTTGGATATGACCTCGATCAGCCCAGCACACCTTTGCACTATTACAACAACCTCTGCATGGCTGCCATGAACGGACAAACTATGCACAATGTGACGAGTGAAACAAAATTCCTGCAAAAACTGATCAAAGAAAAAGTTGTCAAAGACCTTACTGGTGGGATACATTGTGAATTCTGCAGCAAAGACAGCCAGTGATTGAAGTGCAGCATGGTTTGGATTTGTTAAATTTCCAGAGGTTCAGCTGGAACAACGTTTTCACTGTCTTAAGGAGTTCTTTAAAATGTATATAGAATGGACGTGGAATCCCTGCTGCCTTTTTTAATGTCAAGTTCCATTTGTTGGACTTTCAGATTTATTTTGATGTCGGATTTTACTTTGCACATTTTTGTGGATAACTATGTAAATACAACTTGGAAAGAGATCCATTTATTTAATGTTTTAAATTGTCTGAAGGAAAGCAGATTTTTGTTGTTGTTGATGTTTTCAGATGTACGTGGTGCACACAATGCTAGCCTGAGTTATTGTCTAACAGCGTACAAGAGTTATTTTCCACAGGACTACTATCTTTGTCGATCAAGTTCTTAGTGTATGACTCCTTTTCCTGCATAACGTGAAAAGATAGGCATATGCTTCTCAAGTTTTTCATTTCTTGCAACTTGAGCGTTGTGTTTCCCCCTTAAATATTTATATTCTTTTCATTTTGTGCTAATATTTTTTGGGGGTGGAGGAGGAATGTGGGAGTGGAGATGAAGGAAAAGGAACTGTTGTGGCAACAACTGAATAGTAAGTGCTTTGGTGTTCATGATTGATATTAAAATCATTGATGCATTAATGTATTGGGTTAGAATCCTGCTTTATCATGAGGCATGTCTGGGACCAGGGCACACTGTAAAAGGATTTAGCTGGTAGGAGACTTAGACCTGACTCAGATCTCTTGTCATTTCCATTCCTTAAGACCCAGATAAATGTTTCTAACTATTGATTTGCAGTAAAGTTCAGCTATCCCAATTAAAGAAGTGGCATTAATACAAAATCTGCCCCTCCCTTTTTTATAAGAATGACCTGAGAATTGCAGGTTCTATAAAGCACTAGTTTGTGTAAATCTTCTATTTAGCAATAATAGAATCTATGATTAAGCTAAAATTTCCATTTACTTTATGATCCTTCAGTAATTAATTACAGATACCGTAACCTTAATAGTTTACAATGATGATAACCCTTATGAACTCTAGTGTTGACTATTTAATTGAGGGAGAGGTAGAGTTGTTGGTTTTCCTAGAGCAGCTTTTCAGTCAGCAGTTGGGTGAATGTGTATAAGTTAAGAAGAAAATCACTTTGAGAAAGTAGTATGATCTAGTAGCAAGCTAAATTGCTGCTGAAAGCAGCATTCTTTTTTTTTTTTAAAAAAAAAGCTATAAATATATGCTCTTGTGACTGGAAGTCAGTGCATTGGAAAGAAACTGGACTGTGCAGATCTGCAAGCAGGTTTTGGTTTTCATTTTCATTTCATTACTAGTAGAGTAGTAGGTATGACTGTGCGCACCAAGTAGTGTTACTCAATCTACAGTACAGGAAAAATGCTTTCTCTGGGAATGAAAGCTTGTTAGCAAATTGATCAAAGGTTTGCCTGGAAACATTGCTCATAGTCATGGACTCTCCACATGGTGGACATTCCCACGTTGTTTTTTGTTATGGGCTAAGATATGAATGTAGTTGTAGTTTTAAATTTTCAAAATGCTCATGTGGGAAAGCAAGATTAGGGTGGTTGGGGTTTTTAATATTTAGTTTTAGTTTTGTGGGGGCTTTTTATGGAGAGAAGTTCTAATGAATGATAATGTAGGAATGTAGGAGCAGCAGACTGATTCTGGCTATTATACTAAAAGGCAATAAAATGACATCAGATCAGAAAGCATAACTCTGAAGAAAGTTGTGGACCTCATCTTTCCTAAGTCCCATGTACCTACATGTCCTTGAAAGCCAGTTGTGGATAGTGAGCAAATTCAGATTCTTGTCTCTGGCACTGTTTGTATACATAGCAATAATATTAATCTAACTTCTCTTCCGTGAAACACGTTAATTTTTGTACTAGCAATAAATTTCTAGTCTATGTTTTTTTGTAAGTATAATAATTATATTTAATTTAACAATATTTCCTGTGCGAAGTTTTATACAGATGGGCTTTTAGTTAATATATTAAAATGCTGTAATTATTTTCTCCTGGTATTTAAACTGGAAGCAAAGTACTTTAATTTCATTTGGTATTAGTGAAATTTTGGAAGATTTCAGAACATGTGCGTTGGGAGGACATCCTGAGTACACCGAAAGTACGTTTTTCAGAGCACTTGGTCCCTCACCAGTTTGCTCTACTCAGTAACTTAAAAATAATCAGTTGATTAACATAGATGCTGATGGGTTTTTGGAGATGCTCTATTTACTGTCAGATTGTCAAATTATGTTGATGTAGGATTAGATTGTTTTGCCACCAGTTTTATGGCTTGTGATAAAACATTGTTCTCTGTGGTAGCGTATACTGTGTTGAATATGCCTGCACAGACTCGACCATCCGTGAAATGGCAGCAAAGTTCAGGTTGCAAAAAGCAATAAACTGATGAAACCACTTTCTACTTACGTATTTGTCTCACAGTTTGCAATTTGTTCTGCCTCCTTTATTTAAGGATTTTATGTGTCTTACTGGTCCAATTGAAACTCTTGATGTGATCCCAGGTACTCAAGAAGAGAGGAGTTAGTGGCTGATGATGAGTCTTTCTCCTTTCGTTTGTGCCTTTTTAATACCTTTCAGTAGAGTTATATCTCTCTGGTGCCTGGAAGAGAGAATCCATCTCAATGCTGACTAATGTGGACGAGAATATTTCAGACTGGGTTAGAGCACTGGCTTTAAAGTCAAGGGTGTGTGTCCTTCGATAGTGGAGACAGACCACAGATTCTGCTCTCTGCTTCAAGTCTTGCTGGAGGTGAGATAAGAACAAAAACTGTGCGTGTCTGTGTTGCTGTGTCCCACATCTTACGCTTTGCAAAGAATTTGCATCATCCCTCGTAGATGTGCCTTAATGGTGTCTGTTTAAAAACTCAACAAAGAATTTGGGAGCGGTGATAAAGCTATTGTGCTCCACATCAGAATTTCTCTTTGTAACTCTCCTCTTTGCCTAGGAGCTGTCACAGTTCTGTTTGTCTGACCTGTTCCAATGCTGAATTTGTTTCATGGTTCCTGTGCAGGGAACGTAGCTTCAACTTTGTCCTCCCTTGGATTTAGAGTGGTTGTTAAATACTTGCATTATCTGTTATGTTTTAGTCTTTCAGGTGAGATAAGTATAAATTCTGTGTTAGGACTGAACAATTCTGAAACAGTTCTGAAGATTTAGATAACTACGAAGTTTTTTTTTATTCTTTTGATATGTTCAGATTTGTATGGCCATTTAGGGAATAGTAAAAGAGATGAACAGCATCTGAACTTGGAAGAGTGCCATGGGTAAGGTTACGATTTGTTTCTTACGATGCCACGAACATGTGCCAGAGTTGCAGGAAGAGACATATAGAGCCGTTTGGGTGCAGAGCGGGAAAGAGCCAAAACAGGTGGTTGTGGACCACAGTCAGTGACTGGTTGACACTGGAACCGGATGTTTAGCATGTAGGGTTGTCTGCTGAGATGCTGATAAGGAACTGAAGAGCAGTTCAGCCTCTTCAGCGGATGGATGTGTGCTGATAGCTTGGGCTCTCGTGCTGTGGTCGGAACTCCAGCAGGAGATGGGAGGGGATCAGAGGAGGTGGCTGCGTAGCACGAGTGTGATGTCTTTGCCTGTTGCCGAGGGCAGATGAAGGAGGAGCTCATGCACCTCTGTTAAGACTAGCACAGATGCGATGCTGTGACTTCCTTCCTCCAGCCTGCCAGCAGCAAGGTTTTATACAAATACTCGATTTTACCAGCACCTGGATCTTGCCCTTTGAAATTTCTGTGGCCTGGGAAGGCTGTTGCCTTTCCTAATTTCAAACATACCTAAGGTGATGGTATTCTACATAGATCTCATTAAATAAATCCAGGATATACATGCTGACAAACATTTGTGGCTGTCATCTAAAATGAAGGCTCTCTGTTTCCTGGCGAAGAACAACCTTGCCCATCTTTTAAAAACAAAAAGTCCAGCAAAATCCTGCCTGTTGGGGTTGAGATTATGACCAATTCCAGTAAAACTGGAGAATATGATGATCTTTAAAAATGCTACTGCTGAGAAGCTAGATGCTGCTGAAGAAACCATTGCCTGAAGTGATGTATGACCAGATCCAAATACGAATCAAAGGATGAAGGAGTATGAAGACGGACAGCTGAGCCCAGCTGTGAAATGCAACCCCTTTCTTCTGCAGCCACCTAACTCTGGAAATGTTTACCTTCTTGTCACGGCACAGATCTTGACTGGAAAGTTCCCAAAACCCTAGGAGTTATGCTTGTAGACAAATGTAGGTACATCCCGGTCACAACATGTTTGCGTGGTTTAGCATCAGCGTTGTCCCATGTTTCATGAGGTGTTGAAGGTAGGTGACCCACTCCTCAGGTCCCCAAAGGGCTGTTAAACCATACCTAAAACTCCATGTATCTCATCGCATTTGAGGCACACAGAAAGGGCTTTTCTTGCTACAGTCTCCTGCATTCTCTGTCTCCATGGCTATTTTCTTTGTTTTCCCTAAAACAACCCTGTGAGCAGGGACTGAAGCACCCACCCACGTGCCCACTGGTGGTGTGGTTCACAAACTTGGGTATCGAGTGTTCGTCTGCATTTCGGCATGTCCCTGAAGGGGTGGGTGTGTTGCAAGGTGAGCGCTTTTACTGTTTGACTAAAACTTCTCACATTTTACACAGATACCATCCTCCCCACCCTTCCTGGGAAGGAGCCGCAGTGGTTCACAGATCTCTGCTGCTCTGTGTATCACTGGTGACAGACCTCTACATTGCTGTGAGGGAATCCTCCTCAAGCTCTGCCTTTATTCCTTGCTCCTCTCTGTATAAAGCTTATTGCTCCTGTGTGCTAAAAGCAACAAGACACTTTTTAATTAAAAAACCCATACAATAAGATGCCTTCCTTGAAGCATGACAAGGGGTGGTCATCTTTTGGTGAGGGCCTGGTTCCTCACAATCTGGTGTTCAAACTTCTATCATGTATGACTGATTCTTGTAGGGTCATGACACCGTCAGTGGCAACTCTGATGGTCAAGGTAGAAGACAGGCATTAAATCAACTGTGCTA